CAGTTCACAGATCTTGTCCAGAGGATGGACTTCAAGGGAAGTGGAGAAGCAGACTAAATTCTATATTGACTAGGAGGTTCAAAGAGTCTACAAGTGTAGACTGTGTTATTTATAATCTGTTCCACATGGGATTGCCTCTTAGGTTTGCCCTGGACCTATCTCCATGACTCAGACAGAGGACCATGAATAAGGACAGAAAATAGTGAGTTCTGCAATAAGGGAGAAATCTGAGAACTTTCACAGTGGCACATGATCTCTCTTTGTGATGAAAGGCCAGGTTGGTGTACTGTACATTTCACTGAGAACGATCAGGTGTTCCTGTCACAAGAGGTTAATGATCAACTAAACCAGAAAATATTTGTACTTTACAACCACCTTTTGCTGTCCTTCCTACAGTGCCTGCAATACCTCCTCCATGTGCTGATGGAGACAAGCTGTCTGCTTGTCTCCCTAGATTCTCACCATCCTGCCCCTACAAGAGCAACCAAACATAGCACATTGCTGCAAGCCTGTCCAAACCAGGGGGCCACCCTGCACTGATGGGGTGTGAAATCATCCATTGCTTGAAAATCTCAATCTGAAGCCCTAGATTTTATTAGGATTTAAAAGTTATATTTTACAGGTTGTGCATCCTTCATTCCTACATTTTTCTTCCTGCCCTGAAGCAGGACGAAAAGCCACTTATTAAGCCTTGTTTTCTTTCCAAACAAATCCTAGAGCTTTAAGCACACTTTTTATTTGTCATATTACTTTAAATAGCAAGAAAAGGGGCTGTCTTTATGTTCCCTGTATGTCTTTCTGCAATTTGCCTAGCCCAAGCAGGAGTGCTAGTGTTTATATCCTCTGTATTTCACACAGTACTCCCTCTGTGGCCAGAGGGTCTATGTATTATTGTTATTTTTGGTTCAGCTTTTCGGGACTTGGTTTTTTTTTTTTTTTTTTTTTTTTCGGTAAGGAGACAGTAAAAAGCTTTGCATTTGTCAGTGTCTGTGTCTCTTGACTCAGTGCACTTTTGGAAAGCCATCTCCTCTGGTATTCACACTATATCATCATCCACCACAAGACAATTTAAAATAAGATATTCTCAGTCCTTCCAGCTTTCTCTAAACAAAGCCTGTGAGTTGAGAATGAGCTCAGTATATGCCTGACATGTATTGGCATAGACACACCAATGGGAGGGGAGCAGTTAGGGCAATTTGGGATATCCTAAGAGACTTTGGGGAGAACTGTGGACCTCTCACTGGTCTTCCTTCAGGGATCTTAATTTTAATTCATTTCAATAATGCACTTTCACTCTCAGACCATCAGCATTCACATACATTAAATAAAGTACTGAAACAGAATGCCTGGGCAGCAGGCTTCCCTATTTCTGCAGCTGCCACAGAGAAATGGGATGAGAAGGCAAAAGCAAAGATTTATTCTCCATGAGGTGGTGGTTTGAGATGCAGCTTCCTCTGTAACAGCCAATGCATGTCCTCTAGCAAAGGTACAGCAGGGATTCAGATGAAGGAGAGAGCTGCTGTTTTTTTATACACAAAGCTGGCCCTAAACCTGATAAGGAGAAATGTGGTATTCTTATATCTTTAGCATGGCTAAAATCTCTATTTATTTTTGATATGAGTCAGTTAATGTGCTGAAATGTATGTCAGAATACACACCTTGGAAAAAATGACTAATCAGACACTGTTTTAAAAAGTGCCTAAAGGAATAACAGAGAAACATGAAATTCTTATTTGGAAGTGTCCATATAATTTAAATGCCATGTAAATATCACTAATGGTTTGAATCTTGTACAATGTTTCAGAAGCATTCACCTGCCTAATTATCTTTAACATCAGAGCCTGTAAGTCATACAAATATATTTGCAATAGTTTTCAAAGGTCTCAAATGCATATTAGCACTGAAAACAGAACACTGGTTTGTGGTTTTGTTGTTGTTGTGAAGTTGCTTTTATTTACAAGCTGGCTGTCTTTACCAAAAGTTTGTCCACTGGTTGCTGGTTTTTTTTTTTTAATGTTCAAGCACTTTGAATAGTTTTGTTTGTCCTCAGTTTAACTCATCTCACAGATGGATTATAAGGCTTGTAGAATTTGTTTACATTTATAAATATTTTCTCTCATGGCTGAAACAGTTTGAGGGAGAAGTTTCTACTGAAACACTCCCTTTCTTTATAGAAAATGTACTTGTGTTTTGTTTGAAGGAGGCCGCGTGCCCTGGCTATGCTACCATGAACGCGTGTATGGCTGCAGATAGAGCACACAGTGTACTTTTTTTGGTAATTTTCTTCATCTCTCCCAGTCTCTGCTTCTTTTAGTCCCACAAACTTTAATAAACTGAAAAAGAAATCCTATGAAGGCTGGAGCTTTCAAACCAAAAATGCAGCACTTGAAATTAAATAGTATGATCTCATCCATCCTTAATTTTTAGTGCCTTTTCTATGCCCAGTAGACAACTTTACTTTTATAAAACTTGAGTCCTTGTCAGCCTTGAAAATACTATTTATTGACTTTGTCACTTGTATTTACCATAAGCTATTGCCTCTTGTATATGACCATACAAAATGAGTTTCCAAAAAAAATTAAGTATTTTTTATGTTGATCAACAGGTCTAATTCCAAAGTCAAACTATTCTCCAACTGTGCACAAGTGAAGGAAAAGTTTTTCAATGTATTGTGGTACAGTTTTGTACTCCTATACATCTGACATAAGAATAATGTGCACTGGGCTTGATCCAGCCGAGAGTGGCTTTTGTGTCTGTTGATCCTGGACATTTCCAGAGCCCCCCAGGATCTCTAGTCAAAAAGTCTATTTTTGATTCAAATGGAAGAAAAGTGCTTCCTTCTATAGCTGCAGACTGCCAAATTATGCATCCCATGCTGGCTTTTCCTGACTGGCACTGCAATAATAGCTGTAGTAAAGATTTTAGTCTTTACCTCTAAAGCCAGTTTGGCATGAAAGATTGATAAGCTGATGACTCAAAACTAAATGTAGTATTTCATAAGAGAACATAGGCAGAAAGAGCTGCTGATTGTTTTCCCCTTTTGCACAGTAAATGAACTAACTAGCCAAATCCATTGTTAGGTATCTGTTAAAGGGCTTTTGTTTTCCCATAAATAACCCCTGCAAGTTTTGAAAATGAAATCAGCCATCACAAGCAGGCTTTTGAACATGCCATCAGGGCTGAATGCAGTCAGCATGCTCAAGAAATCATTTGTCATGATTCAATCAATGGGCCAGAGCAAAAATCTAAACATAAAGAAAGGCTGAAGCAGAATAAAACAGCATCAGGTTCCATGCATACAGCCACTTCAGAGAATGATTAATCCAGCAACAATTACATACTTATAGTATCCTGCATATTAAAGAAAAAAATACTGAAATGGGAAGAGCACTTTATTTATCAAAATAAGCTGATAATAATATCATAGCTGCAGCCAGAGATGTAGGCAATAACAGGAAATTGCTTGACTGCCTCTGTTGATACCTTCCAGTACTGTGGATCCAAAGCTGGAATAGATCCCTGGTTCACTGAAGTACTTAAGCATGTGTTTCATTCTCAGTGAGTTCAAAGAGACTTAATCTTGTCCTTAAAGTACGCATCTGCTTAAATATTTAAAATGAATGAGGACCTATCTTGATCCCATTTTTATTGGAAACATCCACTGACTTCCATAGCTGCAGAATTAGATTCCTAAATAGGACTTGCAGAGCTGTGGATCTGGGCTTTAGTCATTCACCTATTTTGCTCTAGGCATGTGTCCTGTGTAGAGGATATTATGTCACATCAGGGGTATGTATTTATCCAATCTTGGGATAGCTAATGGATCTCTTCTCTCTAGTGATCGTTGACAACCTGAAGTTGTGCTGGGGGACTTTAGGTTGGATATGACAAAAATGTTCTTCACTTGTTGGGCACTGGAACAGGCTCTCCAGGGCAGTTGCCACAGCACCAAGCCTGACAGAATTCAAGAACAGATTGGACAATACTCTCAGGCACATGGTGTGACTTTTGGGAATGTCCTATGCAGGGTTAGGAGTCGGACTCGATGATCCTTGTGGGTGCCTTCCAACTCAGCTTATTTTGTGAGTATTCTTACTAGAAATCTGAGCTGATTAGGATGGTAGAGCCTGACTCAGCAAAATACTTGAACATGACTGCACAAGCTGGATAATAAGATGATAGTTGGTGTGGGTCTAGGAATGTTCTGAATAAATACCACAGTTCCCACTTGCTCCCAGTACATCTTCCCAGAGGCCAGATACAGCTGTGAGGACACAGTTGGGTGGAACAAGGCCGTAAGGCTCCTGGGGTTGCAGAGCAAAGGGGGCTCTGGTGTTTTGCAAAGGTTCAGAGCAGAGGCCCTGCAGCAGGGGTGGGCAAGGTGGAAGCAGCGGTGAAAGTGTCATGCTCAGCACACAATGTTTGATGGGTCTTCATGTAACCCCATTAAAGTCAATGAGAACGAAACACACACTTTGCTCTGCAGAGATGGGATTACTCATGCGCCTAAAATTAAACATGTGGTTAAGTGCTCTGCTGAACCAGGGCCAGAGAGATGGAAAATGAGCACTGCCAGTACTGATTCTCCCCCATCGTCTTTTCCACACAGCTGCCTCCTGACGCCTGCTGACTCTTTCGTAAATATGGACTGTAGCTATAGTACTGTATTAATTACTAAAAGAAACTGGGACATATCCAAAGCCCTGGCCTCACTGAGGAGGTTTGAACAAAACTTCCATTAACACCAAGTTAAGATCATAAAAATGGGATTCTGCAGCGTAAGAATGGAGTTGTTCTTAACACAATGGATGGAGATGAGGTTTCCTGTGACAGAACCAAATCCATGGGAAAGTACAACTACGAGATAAGTCTAGAGGAAAGGTAAATTTTCTGTTGATAAACGTACATTAGAGAGCTTCTTCTGCAGTTTTCTTTTTGTGTGAACTTAATTAACTTGTCAACTCTTTGAGCATAAATAACTCTTACAGTACCAGAGAAAATTTCATATGTTTGTGTACAGCACATTTATTATTAACACATTTCCTTATTTTACAGGTGTGTAATCATTAATTTGATCCAACAAACAAAAGAATTGTGGTTGCATCAAATTGTTTCTTTAGATTTAAAACTAAAAATGCAAGCTAGAGTGGAATCTCTGTTTGAAACAGGAAAAATGTCATATGTGCATGTTTGACATAAATGATTATTCATTTAACAAGCATCTGGAATTTATGTTACATAAATTTGGTAAGTCACCATATTCTTACATCTCCTCACCACTTTCAGAATGACATTCCAAGAGTTACATTCAATCTTCTTTTAGAACAGGCTATACTTCCTCTATCCATGTATGCATCCCATAAGAAAACAATTGAGGTAAAACATATCATACAAGAATATAAGTGATACTACAGATATTAGACCTTAATAAACTATGTGTTTTATTTGTGTATCAGTTATAAAGCTGTGGATTTTCTTATAAACATTAATGATAAGGCTTTGATATGCATTTTATTATCTTTGGAAATGTGGGCATTTCTTATTGAAATAAGCACTCAAAAGTAGACAGGATGCAGAATTTTAGAAAATGTTGTCTTCCCCTCTGACAGTGCAAAAAACTTAAGAAGATTTTTGAAACTGCTTACCATGTGGTTTGTTCTGTTAAAGTAAATCAATATCAGAGTAAAGACCCAGGAATTCCAAGAATTTTTGCACAGGTCATTTAACTTATCTGTTCCTCCACTTGTTACTGTGCTATCAGTGTTTTACTGATAACTGCCTTTGAACCAATAAAGTAAAATTGAATTAGAATTGTAAAAAGCTTGATGATATTAGATAAAAACTGTTAAGTAAGAATAAATTATTATGTCAAATATGTACTAAATATATCTAGTAGACACTACATCATAGTTAATAACAACCAATAATAATAATAATGCAATGCACAACAATCCTTTAAAAACCTGGTGTCTTTCATTGCTGCCAGTAGATCTGGGTGTACAAGAGAAGATACTCCAGCTATTTGCTCTTTAATGGAAAAAGTGTGTTCCCAGGCTGGACACTTATCAGTGAGGCTTTGTTAGATATAGACTAACTCCAGAAAATGTAGAACAGGGTCTGCTATGCTCCAGAAGACCATAAAGCATCTACAACTATGCTTCAGTATTTAACTTCTACTTTCTTGGTTCTTGCCTTAATAATCGTCTTGGAAAACGCAAGCCAAGACAGTTGGTTTGTGTTGCTTTTTGTCAACCCTCATATATTAAAAGCATAGATGTTTGGTATGTGGTGTTTTAGGTGTAAGGGGGCAAATACAAATGTCATATAAACCAAAAAATAATTAATGTCCCTTCCCAAAATGAAAAGAACTCAGCCTGCACAATGTCCATATCTTGCAAGAGCCACTTTTCTTTAGCCATTGTTCCATATTTACACTTATCCAGTTGAAATCTGAAGACTGAGGGAATCAGATCCATGTTAAACTTCTTGCCTGTAACAGCTGAAGAACACAGTGGCTAAAACTCAAAAAGGTTTCTGTCTGTCAGACTTCCCTGTTGAACAGTAGACCTGGGAGGTGGTGTTTACTTTTTTTGGCTGTAAAAAAAAAAAAAATCACCTTAAGCTGAGCTCAAGTAAAATGCATTTTTAAAAAAATACATGTTTTTCCCCTCCCCAACATTACTGTTTATAAGGGAATGAAGAGTGTTTAGGGAACACAATCCAGGAAAGATGGCAGAGGTTTTTAGTGTCTGTGGCTAGATTAATATTAGAGTGGCTGTAACTCTTACATGACCAGCTTGCTTGAAGAGATAGTGATATTTGGATGAATAAGCTAAAAGGCCTGGAAAGAGATAAAAGCGAACAAGGCTGCACTGTGGTGAGCAGCAATGGATGCCCAGGCATATCCTAGGGGAAGTACTGACCTGTGCCTGTTTGCTCCTGGCACTGGGGTATGTCATTTTTCTCTGCTTTCATCACAGCTATCGTCTTCCCCACTTCCCCTAACCATTTTATCATGCATATTTTTATTATTTCTTCATATATTTTTAATGCGTATTTTTGGTAACAATATGAGTGTTGCAGAAAAATCTACTGTACAGAACCCAGGATTAAGAAGCCTGCATGATTTACCCATCCCACAAGTAAAGACTAGAAACTGGAATACCTTTCTCTATCAGTTTTTAGAGTGGCTTCAAGAAGATAAGGACCCTCTGTATAATGCAGCTGAAGAAGCCATTTAGCCTGCAAGGCAGACAGGACATGTCAATTAAGAATGACCTAGTTTCACTGGACTGGTGCAGATTATGGGTATTCACTGAACTATGCTGGAAAGCAACCACAAATCATATGGCTCTGCTTAGGAAAACTACCCATGAGAAGTGGGATTAATTTTGGCCTGAAAAATGAAGTTTTGTCAGGTTGGACAGCTATCTCACAGAGACAGGACGGTCTGTGCCTGTGGTACCCCCAGCTTACCAAGCAGCAGGTGCTGAGCTGGGGGGTCACAAAGCTAGATTCCAGTAATAGAATTAAAGAGTGGTTGGTCATTTTATCTCCCTGACAGAGGGAGAGCAATACAAGAGCAGGAAGTATGAGGTAAGAACCACAAACAAAGCCTGGAGGAATGATTTGTTATGGTTTAGGATCATATGAGAAGTCTTGAAAGAGCGTCAGCAAAATCTGGGTGTGGCAAAAGTGTGTCCTAGCAGAAGGTCTTAAAGCAGGCAACAAAACAATAGCAGGAGTTCATGTGGTCTAGACCAATGGCCAAATGCAGGAAACCACAAAGTGTGCTTGCTGGCAGAGAGGAAGAAGTGCCTGAGAGTGGAAAATCACTGTTACAGCCAAGCAATATCCAGGAGGGACCCAGACACTTCCTCATAGAGCACCAGGAATTATGTGGGCGACCCTGGCTCCATGTTCTCAAGGATGGATCAGGACAGATGCCAGCAGTGAAAGCAGCATCCCTGGGGGAGTGTATACAAGAGGGGAAAAGCAGAGCAGCAGGAGGGAAAGTTGAAGCTAGACAGAAATACCCATTTCACAGATACCCATCACATAAAGCAGTCTGTAAGATCAATTGGGGTCTGAAAGCAGTTTGTCCTGCAAATGACCTTATGAAGGAGAGCAGCTGGCTAAGGGCTCTCTGTCAGTTAAGGAAAACAGAAGTCTTTGGGATTATGTCAGAAAGTGATTGGTGTCTGTAGATGCTCACCTCTGAATCACCATCACCCAGTGATGATGAAGAAAATCTAAGGGTCACACTGGCTGTGAGCTGCAGTGGTCCAGTGGCACAAGAGTGCAGGTGAGCCTGACGACCAGGGCTGGGGAAAGAGTAACACTCACTGAGGTGTCAACGGGACTGAACAGAAAGAATCACTAGGTGGACTAGCACAAGATAAACTTGCAGCACATGTGAGTGTCACATGCTTTTTTGGTAAAAACTAACATACTGCAAAATAGAGTAAAACACAAGACATGTAACCTTGGTTTACAAGGCTTAGGTAACTGCTGTTCTCAGTACATGCAGTTAACCTAATGGTATAACTTCTAGTTGACTTCTCTGATAGGGCTGAGGGGCCAGAAAGCTACAGTGTGGGATCTGCCAGAACATCCCTACAGAAAAGCATTGCTTTTTTTGATTGCTGCTAGCAACTTAGTGTTGTCTGAAGCCATGCACAGCAGAAGCATTTGGTATTTTGCCAAAGCAAAAAGGAACGGGTGTTTTACCCAAACCACTTGGAAGGATTCAACTCTCTTTGTGTTTCATGCATACCTCTACAATGTACCCAGAGCACCATGGAGGCGAAGCAAAATCTGTATGTGAGTCAGAGAGGAGACTGACACTGAGAAGTGATGTAAGTTGGCTGGATTTGCCTGAAAAAACAGGGTGGAAGCAGGGACTAGTACCCAGTCCTTTGCCATCCAGCAGTGATAAGGAAGGAGTGACCACCAAGGGGCAGCATTTTCTTAATAGTTTTGTCATGTTGGTTGTAAGATCTTCTCCCCTACTATCCCTATGACACCATTCAGATATCTGAAATAAATAAATAAATAAATAAAATAGTGGTTGAAAAATGGCCATGAGAGCATATAAATGACAGTCAACAAGAGAGCACCCAGCACTGGCCTCTTTTTGGAAGTACAGAGCAGAGAAGTCACAGAATCTGGAGAAGATTTGTAAAATGCTCTGACTTATGTGAAAGGTACCATTGATCGATATTTTACACTTTAATGTCACAGAGTGCAAAAGTGTGATTAATGGAACAATTAAATTCCCTTGCTTCCAGCAGAGACCTGAACCTTCATTTTGGTGGGTTTTTTCAGTACCATAACGTTTAGCTAGTTTAAAGGTGTTCTTTAATTTCTTTTTGACCTCATATCCAAATTTTACAGTGAAAAATTATGTCACATTGTCAGCAAAAACAATTAGACTATGATCCTTTAATCACTCATATTAAGCATGAAGTCCCTGATTCAGCAATGCATTTAAGTGTGCTTTGAATTTTAATTATGTGTGACGATCATTGTTATTCAGAAAGGCGTGTTTGTATGTTTAGGCTTATGCTTGTATGTTTTGCTGAACTGAAGCTTTTGAGCAATAAGAAGGTATCTGGCACTTACCTAAAAGCAATCGAGGGTGAGTCATAGTAGTGAAACTGAAGTTGTGGCCACAGAGAGCTGCTGCATAGAGCAGTCTCCTAGCTCTGTACTATAATAATCAAGAAAGAAAAAGATCTGCTTATCTCAGTCTTCAGATTCCTGAAGTGTCTTTTTTTCTGGTTGAAACTGCATTATTTTACCAGGGTCCTTTTATTTCTTGTCAATCAAGGATGATGAATATGGGAATGTTTGTTTGTTTAATCACACTTTCCACTGGACAAATAATTCCCAGCACGCAGGGGTGGCTGTTGAACAAACTCCTGCTGTAAAACCAGTTGAAAGGCTCCCATTGATTCTGAGGAAAGCAGCTTCAGGCCCTGGGTGAGTCACTGCATGGGCAGCCCTGGTCTCAGCACTTCTTGTGTTGTCTCTGTAATACAGCAGCAGATCAAGGTCTCCCAGCCAGAGACCTTGTGACTAACAAATGCTGAGACTGGAGAATCACTTCCCAATCCTGAAGTCTTCTGACAGCAGGCTGCTGCCTCTTTCTATCTGCTTCTTTCTTTCTAGATGTCTCAGGCATCAGTGCGAGCTACCCTAGGACAGCAGACTGTGTCTAACAGCACCTGGCAGGGCTCTGGCAAACACTGTACTTGGATGCAAGGCACCACTGTTCCACTTGCCTCATCAGGATACTAAGGGAAGAATTTAAGCCCCTGTCAACTCAGCGTAATAAATGAGAGAACTCCCCAGCTGATTATCAGCTCTTTTACCTGCAATGTCTTGGACCATTTAAATCTTACTATGACTGATTAAAAAACATAATGGAAAATTGATTTTTTTCTGTGTTATAGGGGGAAAATCAATGCAGATTAAGAACAAGAGAAACAGAGAAAGGGAAGAAATACAACTGCAAATTCCACTGGACTCAAATCCAAAACCAAGAGTATATATTCTAAACTGCAGGAACACACGCTTTCTAAAGCCTCCTAAGTCTCTGCACCGGTAAAATAATCTCAAACAAACTTGAAAGCAGATTGAAAATAGATGGGGTGTCTCTAAGTGAAAAGAGACAGTTATCCTCTCCACCTGCTAACAAACACAGCTCTTTTTTTGTTATGAAATGTCTCTAACTTAAAATACTGCCTGAAAGTAAATAAATGCCTGAAAGTAAACTCCATCAATTCATGATGAAGTCTTCAAAGGCATTTTGGAAGACACTCTAAACCACTGCCTTTATTATAGCTTTATTTAGGATTTGAGGAGAGAGAATACTGCAATCAGAAAGGAAGAAAGACAGACAGAGGAAATTATTACATTTCAACCCCTGTGATTTAGAAAGAATAACATGCTTCTTTCTTGATCTGTTATATCATGTACTTACAGAGTAAAATTTGACAATGTGGCATGGAACTGTAACTGCTTGCTGATGTGATATCATCCTCTGCTGTATACCAGGAACTTCTGGACCTGGAAATTCTGTGCCCTTTCTAGAATGTATCCTCCCACTGCTTTTGGATTAATCACTGTATGCTCCCCTCTGTACTTTCCAGAAGAAGTGATTAATGGAAAGGGTGGGTAGCCATGCCCTCACTGCTGTGTAATCACTTCTCTTCATATAGAATAAAGGTCAATTTTGACAGCAATATTATTTTTTTAATTATTGTTTTTCTAAGTTTCTCAAACCCTTTTGACAAACCTAGGTAAGTTTTCCTCCTTTCTGAAGTTGTGCAGGCACACACATTTATTCCTCATGTAAAGGAGAAAAAGTTGTTGCTGCAGTGCTCTGGGCATTTAAGACCTGCTAAAAGTACAGCACCAAGTAGGTACTTTTAACCCTGGTGGTGATGAGTGCATATCTGTCAGAGGATGTAAAGCTGAGCTTGCTGTTCACTTTTGGAGGCCTTCCCAAACATTTCACCATTCCACCCGATAAGGAAAGTAGGCTGGGAAAAATGCTACACATTAATTGTGGCAAAGACTGTCCTGTC